GTGTTTAGGTTGTTTAGATGACAACACTTTCCAAGCAGGATTGTAAGTACATTATACATGTTTGCTTATTTATTTGTGTTTTTATTTCCTTTAGGCTAGGTTCTGATGTTTCAATTTCTTCTGCAAATATCGCCTTTAACATTAGGATTTTAAAATTGTTTCTTAAGTTACGACGTAAATCCACACCTTTCTAGGCTTTCTCACTATCTTATTTCATGTGATATACGTCTTAAATTTCTAAATAACTTGTCAAGATTGAAACATCAAATTAATTTCTATTTCAAAACATTTAAAACCAAACCATAGGCTAATTGAGATGTCATTGAATCTTTTCAATATCATTAACAACTAGTACTTTGTCTTCCTTTGGGTTCAAAAATAATTTTCAAATTTAAACCTTTTCATTTGGTTTTCGAATAATCAATCATAGAAACTAAACTTTGAATTTCTTGAAGACAGAACGATAACCTAAGTCAAGTGTTTTCTTACATAACTTGGGTTGCTTAACATATAACCAACTATATGTGCCTGCGTCAAAAGAAAAGTAACAAACCAGATAATTTAAGTCATATCTAATCTTCGGATTAGATATGGGGAAAGACCTATTTGTATTATCGCAAACCAATAAAAAAAATATATATTTTTTTTGTTTTGAATAATTGAACCCACTATTAAGTGATACCCTCATTGTTTGAGATGATATATTGCATGTAATGTCGTGCTTGATAATTTAAATAATTAAAATTCTATTTATATACTTTTCAGAAAACGTAAGTTTGACAAATTTCAATAATTTTTGAAGTAAATAGAAAATCAAGATTTCTAAATTAAATACATGATGTTCTTACACCCTAGTATTACACTAATTCACTAGAATTTCTCCTACGTTGCATTATAACATTTTTAAGGCAAAATTGTATGAAAACTTAACCAAACCCACTACCTCAAATCAACCAATATGGTTTTTAAAGTTCAAGTGTTACTTGAAAATAAGTGAAGTTTAAGTTTAATTGATTTTGATGTGTGAAAAGATTGCATGAATTTCTTTATATTTTGTACATCTTTTTGAATAAAATTGCACTTTAAAGAAATGTATTTGTATGTTTTTCTTACAGATATAACAAATATTAGGAATGAAACAAAGTGGAAGAAAAATGAAACAAAAGGAGAAAATTTTAAGAAAAAGTTGTTTATGAAGGCTAGGGCCAAGTCACTAAGTATTGGGCTCCTAGGTGCCAGCCAATCCTGGAACCCGAGAGATTGGCGTCAGGTCGCGAACCACTGAGCGCCAGGGAGCCAACCACTTGGTGCCAAGGCCTCAGTCCTGAAGGCCAAGGCCATGTCATCAGATCAGTGTGGCACCTAGGCGCCAGTCAAGTAAAATGCAACCCGAGAGGTTGGTGCTTAGGCACTAACCACTGGGCTTTAAGGCTATAGTATCAAAATTGAGCAGTGCCTGGGCGTTAGAACCAAATTATGGACTGTTTCGAGACAGTTCAAAGTCATTTTAGAGTGGTTTCATGGCATTTTTAAGAGCAGCATGAAGGGAATTTTAAGAGGAGAGGAAGAGTTCGTGAAGAAGAGGTTTGAATAGGAAAATTGAGAAAGAAAAAGTGTTGTGTTCTAGGGTTAGAGAGAGTTTTGGAGGAATTTTTCTCTTGTGTTTGTAAGTGTCTCAGGCCTGTTCTGAGCAAGTATAAGGGTGTGAGTTGTGTTTTCTTGTAAGTGTTATTGTATTAAGAGTTGCAGGAGAAGAGCAAGAGCTTGGGTGGAGCAATCTCGAGGCAAATTGAGGGAGAGAGATAAGTATATTTATTATTTGAATTTGTAGTTTTTTTGAAAATAATTTTTATGTTGAATCTCTTTGTTTCAATGCATTTTGGTGTTGTTTTATCCATGCTTTCTGAGTAAATTTACTTGTTTTTCCTTTTAGTGATGTAGTAGATGTTTAGGAATGTATATAACATGCCTGAAATAGTTTTTACTCTATTATTGTGATTATTTCCTTATGCAGTACTCTTCAATCTGGCCAATTGATCTATTAAAATGTGTTGTGAACCCATAATAATTCAGAAGAGCTACGACAAGAATAACTAGAAAAATCACGTTGAACTATAGGATATGAATCAAAGTACATTGTAGGGAGATGCAAATAAATAGGGAGATAAACTTCATTGGGTTCAAAGCGGGACTTAATAAATTAAAGTCATTTTAACCAATCTTCTTTATATGCTCGGAAGAGGGTAAAGAAGATATATGCTTTTATTTGTCAAAAAAACTTTATCTTATTTTGCATTTCTTCCACATCTACACTATACTATAATCACTACAAGGAAAAGTAACTCTAGCACTTGACAAAACCAATTCACATAACGTACTTAAAAATTTTTTATGTGTAATTTTAGATATTTGCAGCAAGTTTGTTAACAAAACTCACATATTTCAAAATTCCAAACTAAAACAAATTAAGTAGACTAGAATGTTTTCCTACTTTAGCTTCCAATTATTTCCCGTGGGTTCGACATCTCAGACTCTTTAGAACTCTGTATTACCGAAAAAATACGTATACTTGCGTGAGAAACCTCAATATGTAGGAAAATCTGATTTTAAGAATTCAATCAAGTTGTTAGGGAGAAAATCAAATTTTCTGGTGCCATTACCAATATTTTAATTATTGTGATAACAGTTGAGGTGGATCACACATCAAACCCTATGATTCGACCAAATGAAGAGTTGTCTTGAGGCTGCCTCACCTGCGGATCACCATCTACATGATTGCTTCTAGTTTGATCCCACAATTTTGAAAATCTTATCCTGACTGTCGGCCTGCTTGAATCTCTGGTGATCCCGCACAACAGCGCTTGCGGGCAATGCACGTGAAGGATCATGGAATTTTAAGTATAACAAGCTTATAGTCATATGGAATATCTTGAAAAGGCAAATCCAACTAGCCTCAAATCCGCAACTCATGCATCTCCTAACTCTAGCCTTTATGACCTACAAACGTCATCACAACTCACCACTATATGATAACGTTAAGGCCTTAAATGTCAAAAAATATCATATGATCGAGAGAACCCCTTTGGATCGTATAACCGAGTGATATAAATTTTTTTCTTATTTGTATAGAGGCCTCTCTTAGACTCAATAAATGAAGCCTTACCCCTTTCATGAAAGGGATTAGACTCTGAAATAGAGGAAGCCTGGAGCGTAGAGATGCAGGAGTTGAGGTACAGTATTCTACACCAAAGGTCCATCAATTGTCACCCGCTTCTGCAATAGACGACCATCATCGACTGTCACTTGTTAGTCGTTGTTGACCACTATCAGCTTCCCTCAGCTCATTGCAATGAAGCCCCTTATTGAATCACGATATGTGTTGTAAAATCTCGGCATACTTTTGGAGTAACAAAACACCCTACGGAGTAGTGCAGCGATGTATCTCAAAGATAGTGTAACAACACAACCCGAAAATGGTATAATATCACATCTTGAATGCGGTGTAATGATTCACTATGCTTATAATGCAATGACACCCCTAAAGATAATGTAACAACATATCTCGCAATAACTATTTACAACCATCATATTAAAAATATTATGACTTTCTTCAGAATTCTGAAGCTATTTTTTTGCAGCCAATCATTTTGACTTATGTAACCGACTATGACCTTTGTGATTCATAGCTCAAATAAGTACTAACTATAGCTTATGTAGTCTATGAACGTTATCATATCCCTAGAAGTTTACAACTCTAGCTTTTATGGCCTACATACAAATGTTATCGCAGTTCACCAATATGACTTACATAGCCAACTACGACCTATGTGGTCCACACTCATGAAGCTTCCAACTCTAACCTTTGTGTTTTATGGACATTATCACAGCTCGTGAAGCTTCCAACCACCATCTACAATATTCACGACGAATTACTATCTCCATAACAACTGATTATGATTTTCAACGCACGTTACAATTATTTTACTGAAATATCATTGTCCATCAACTTTGTAATTTCATTTTCTCAAATTGAGAAAAAAAGTAAGCTTGTGTACTCACCATTACATAGTTGATTATTACAAATGGCTAGGCCCTATATTTTTCTCCATTTGTAGAGTTTTTCATATAAAAATTTATGATGTCTCTATCTATTCTTTTTATTACCTAAGTGTGTGTTGTATTTTTGTGCAACACTAAGACGATAATTCATTACTTCATCATCACAAATCTTCCGACATGCATCACAATTGTACTTTATAAATTTCACAAGTCCATTACTGGTCTCCTTACATTCATAACTTGCGGTATTCAACGTTCTGATTGACATATATAAATTTATATTACAACAGAGAAAGAAATCTCTTGAAATTTTATTTAATACAAATAAAAGTCAATTTCATTAAAAAATTAAAGCTAAGAAATTAAATGCATTAATCAACCAAAGAATAAGTCGCATTTTCGGGGCTCTTACTTTACGAATCGACCTTCGGATTGACAACATGAATTCCATTTAATCAGTTAATGGGTGCAAAAATTAATAGCCTAATCCAAACTAGAAATGAATTAAACCTTATTAAACAGGAAGAAAAAAAAAATCAAAATTAAAAGCTTAACCATCTCTATATTAATGAAATAAATAAAGAAAAATAAAAAATATATGCATTTGTTGATAAAAGGGAAAAAAAATAAATGTGTCACATGCGACCATTAATGAGGACAAGCTGGTGGCACCGTATTCCTCCGAACCGGAACCGTCTCATTTATTGCGCCCAGATCCTTTCCCTTGGTCCCTATCTTCCCCCCTCCATCGACCGTCCGATCGGAACCTTCAGAGATGTGCGGGGCAGAAATCGCTAAACGGGACGGCTCTCCATGCGCGACTTGCTCGTCCTTCCGAAATAGGATGGGGATAAGTAAGTCATTTCACACCATTCCACCGGATTATATTTTCTTGTAGGCCCCCGCCCCGCATAGAAAATGGCTCTACACGCCCAGTTTTGGACAATTCCGCTTCTCCTTTGAGATCGGTCACTTTCGTAGGAGGAAAATTGAGACAGAGAGAGAGAGAGAGAGAGACAGGGAGGGAAATTGGGTAATGCACATCTCTCTCTTTCGGAATCCGAGTCTTTGTTTTTTTTATTTGTATTTGTAGTGAGTATATTGATGAAAGGTGTAGTTTTTCGAAGGAGGATCTCAGTTTCGAGCAGAGGCGATTAGAGGTTGAAAGGAGGGAGCTTTTTTGTATCCATGCTCCGATTTTGCTCGATTATTTATCTGTTTGGACTTTCTATGTAAAAGGGTCGGGTATTTATCACAGTATTCACCCCTGTGAGGTGCTGCTTCTATTCGTTAATTTAGTTTTGTCTGGGTGGTAGTTTTTCGTTGGAGCGCATATGGTGAGGCGGCAATTCCTGATTTGTGAGGCTTCTCCGAGTCCACATGTGCGTGTTTCTATCCCTTACATCTGCTACTGTACTCGCAGCGGGGTTTTAACGCTTCTTTTTTGCTTTTTTCGTCCATCTTCTCCGTGGGGGGGTAGCTCGGGATCTTACTTTGTTTGGTTTTGTTTGGAGGGAGATGAGGGGGGGAGTGCGCTAAGTTAGCTATTGGTTCCGTTTGCTTGGCTTCTTTCTCTTCCTTTCTGTCAATTAAATCATGAGCCTTTGCGTCGTGCATGGAAAGGGGAGGAGATCGAATCTCCGTTGAGCGTTTCTTTTTTGCCTTTCCTTCTATTTCGGGTCTTCCTTTTCCGTGGCTCCACCTGTTTTTTTCTCGGCTGTCCGTTTCCCGTTTTCTTTCTCGGTGTGCTCGGGATCCGCTTGATGTTTGGGTGATCGAGGTGTATATATAGAGGTTGCAGAGGGATCATTAGAAGCCGTGGGAACAAAAAAGGTTGAATTTTAAATGAGTTTCGACGGCTTATTCGACTCCGGCGGCTCCGGCGCTCTGCCTCCTTACTCCTCCGGAGGCGTACAGCAGACGCGGTTTCTCTCAAATCCAGTATTCAGTACCCCCGGCCTCTCACTCGGCCTGGTAAGCGTTCAGTTTAATTCAGCTTTATCCGCGACTTTTGACTTGGATTTAAAAAAAAAAAAATTTGATATTTGGGGCAGCAAATGAACACCGCCGGACAGGGGGATATGAGTAGATTAGGAGTTTTTACCGGCGGCGTTGGAGATGTTGAGGCGATTGTTAAGAGCAGGGAGGAGGAGAATGAGAGCAGGTCGGGCGGGAGTGACAACCTCGAAGGCGGCTCCGGAGACGATATTGATCAAGAGAATCCTCGCAAGAAGAAAAGATACCACCGCCACACTCCACAACAAATCCAAGAGCTCGAAGCGTAAGACATGTTTATTGATTACTATGATTATATACAGATATTTTATCTTCTGGCTATCTCCTCAAGTTTGCTCTCATGGCAGTCTCTTTAAGGAGTGCCCTCACCCGGATGAAAAGCAGCGGATGGAGCTGAGCAAGCGTCTCAATCTCGACCCACGCCAGGTCAAATTCTGGTTCCAGAATCGCCGCACACAGATGAAGGTTAAGCAAAAAAAAAAAAAAAAAAAAAAAAAAAAATATCAAAATTCAATCTTTTGTTTAATTTTTTCTTTTATAACACTTTGTTGAGTGATTTGAATGCAGACACAGATTGAACGGCACGAGAACTCGATTCTCCGTTCAGAAAACGATAAGCTTCGCGCCGAGAACCTGACCATCAGGGAAGCGATGCGCAGCCCGGTATGCGGGTCCTGCGGCAGTCCGGCGATGCTCGGAGAGGTTTCGCTTGAAGAACAACAACTCCGGATCGAAAACGCGCGCCTCAAAGACGAGCTCGACCGCGTGTGCGCGCTCGCTTCCCGATTCCTCGGCCGGCCAATGTCCGCACTTTCATCTCCTTTTTCTGCGTCACCGCTCGAACTGGGCGTTGGCTTCACTGGGCTGGCGGCAATGGTCGGTGGGGATTACACAGCTGGAAGCTCCATGCCTCAGCCACCACGTGCCGTGCTTGCGGGCTCCGAGAGATCCTTGTTGCTCGAACTTGCGTTGGCAGCAATGGATGAACTCGTTAAGTTGGCGCAAGTAGATTCTCCCTTTTGGATTCCAAACATCGACGGTCGGGGAGAGGTTCTCAACTTGGAAGAATATACAAGAGCTTTGCCCCGTTGTGTCGCACCGAAGCCGGCAGATTTCTTCTCGGAGGCCACAAGAGATACTGCAATCGTTCTCATCGATGGCATGATCCTCGTTGACACCTTCATGGATGCGGTCAGCATTATCCCTTCCTCATGATCCTGATGTCATAATTACCATAATCTTTCCATCAAGATTTGATTTTTTTTCAAGCAGAACCGGTGGGCGAAAATGTTCCCATGCGTCGTAGCGAAAGCGGCTACCATTGACATCATATCCAGCGGGATGGGCGGGACTCGAAACGGCGCGTTTCAACTGGTGAGAAATCTTCTCTTCCGAATTGCTCTAAATCGAAACGTGATACGCGTATTAATTTGCGTGTGGTGGTACACAAGATGCAAGCGGAGCTACAAGTGCTGACGCCGCTTGTGCCGGTGAGGGCGGTGAGCTTCCTGAGGTTCTGCAAGCAGCATGCGGAGGGCGTGTGGGCAGTGGTGGACGTTTCCGTGGACGGCATACGCGAGAGCCTGGCTGCTTCCGGCTCTCACATGAGCTGCCGGCGACTTCCGTCGGGCTATTTGGTGCAAGCAATGCCCAGCGGCTACTCCAAGGTATCTCGATCCTCTCTCTTTTTCTGCCATAAATGCCGCAATTTATTGTTCATGTGGTGATGATCGTGATTCCTGTTCATTCTTTTTTAAGAATGAATCATAGATCTAGAATTGAAGTATTGCTTTCATATACATCAAAAATATGCATATATCTTTAAATAAAAAACCTTTATGGTTCTGATTAGGAATAAGCTTGAGAATTTCAGGAGTCACCAACACAAAAAATAAATAAATGAATTGATAAAAAGTTTTCTGAGAGTCCAACTTAAATAATTAAATTTAAAAATTCAATCATTTATGTATAAAATTGTATGATTTTTTTAGCTTATAAAATGATTTAAATAATTTTAAAAATAAAATCATAATGTATTGTCTTTCTAAGTGTTTTTTTTTTCATCATAAATTGTTTTTCTTTCTTGTGGAAACATGGAAACTCATGCTGTCATTAAAGAGAAAAAAAAAGGAGAGGATGCCACTTTTCAACAATAGTACTTGCTGGAAGTCACGAGCAGGCATCCAGCAAGGCTGCATTAACATGCATTTGATCTATGAAATAAAACTTACAATCATTCATAACTTTTATATGACAGTTAGCAGTCCATGTTGATTTTTGACATCACATAAATGCATAAGATTAAATATTATCGTGTGGAATATAATTTATTAATTACAAAGATACATTGCTTCATAAAATATTCTTTGCAAGCTAATTGTTTCACCATAATCTATATTTAATGCTAAATGCTTCTTGAAAAAAAAAATATATATATGACATTGAAAATGATAAAAAAATTCAGTGCTTTACTTGTTTCTTCTTTATGATGCATAAAATATTTATTTATATAAATTTCATGAGTCATATACATTCTAATATTTGAAATTTTATAAATTTTAAAATATAAATATTCTCACACTGTTAATGAGAACCTCCTGACATCATATTAGAACGTCATTTGGATTGTAAAAGGGTTTCTTCCGTAGCAACAACCCTACCTCACATTGTCACATTGGTGATGCACTTCCATTCGAAACATTTCATAACTGCTTATTATTCAATATTTACTGTATTGATTAATCCTACAAGTTTTTTTTTTTTGGTCAAAACTGCACAGAAATTACGTCGCATAGTGCACTGCACAGAAAAGTGAACTGCACAAATTTATTTCTGATCCGCTGACTTAATTAGCAACCTAAACGCTACTGAGCAGGTCACATGGATTGAACACGCGGAATACGACGAAACAGCTGTGCACCAGCTCTACCGTCCTCCGCTGCGAGCTGGTATCTGCCTCGGCGCGCGTCGTTGGATCTCCGCTCTCCAGCGCCAGTCTGAATACCTCGCCATTATGTCCGCCACTTCTCCCCCGCCCAGCGACAACCCCGGTTAGCATCAAACAAATCTGCATATCATTCCGCCACTTTCCAAATTGCAGCTTTTTTTTTTTTTTACCAACGTTTTTTGGTTTGCGGCATGCTGCAGCGATAACGGTTGCTGGGAAAAGAAGCATGATGCGGCTGGCTGGAAGGATGACGGAAAACTTCTGCGCGGGTGTGTGCGCTTGGGCGGAGAGGAAATGGAGGGAACTGCGTTCGGCAGAGGTTGGGGAGGATATGGTGCGGGTTATGACAAGACAAAGTGTGGATGATCCAGGTGAGCCTCCAGGCGTTGTGCTTAGTGCGGCGACCTCGGTGTGGCTGCCGATGGTTTCTGCGCAGCGATTGTTTGAGTTCTTGAGGGACGAGCAGCTGCGGCGCGAGTGGGACATTCTTTCAAATGGCGGCCCGATGCAGGAGGTAGCCCATATAGCAAAGGGTCACGACCGCGGGAACTCCGTCTCCCTCCTCCGCGCCACGGTTCCCGCCGCCGCTTCGGCTATGGTATGAAACTTGTGCGCCACTTTCCTTCTTAAAAATTACTTTTTCCATAAATGTTACTTTGTGAAAATCTTAAAATGTACCATCCTTTCGCTCATAGTTACTTATGTTACGCGTTTGTGAAAAGGAGTTTGAGGACGACCGAATTGGCTGACGTAATTTCAGCGGCGCCTAGCGCCAAGTTGCATGGATTTGACCGTTCGGCAGATATTTTTATAATATTTTCGGGGCTTCAAGATTTATTAAATATCGAGTACTTACGCAAATTGATTGAAAATAAAATAAAAATATAATATTTAAATATCAGTCACATTCAAATGCTCATTTAGCCTATATATATATATATATATATATATATACAGGCACAAAGGCAGACCATTAAAAAAGCATTAAAATTTTGTTTACTATTGAGATTATCAGGCAGACCATTAAAAAAGCATTAAAATTTTGTTTACAATTGAGATTATCATTAATATTTTAATGGGTGAATTGTGTGCTATGCATGTAAATGCGTGAGATTAGAAATTTATTATTTTTCTGTTAAACTGTTTTTGAATTTTCTGTGTTCATATTTTTTTCTATTTAATCCAGGATGCCAATGGAAATCAGAAACAAGAAGAAGAAAGCATGTTGATACTGCAAGAAACAAGCACAGACGCTGCAGGATCATTGGTGGTTTATGCCCCCGTGGACGCACCAGCCATTAACCTCGTCATGAACGGTGGCGATTCGTCCTATGTTGCCCTCCTCCCCTCCGGCTTCTCGATTCTCCCTGATGGTAGTGGCGGCTCCGGCAACGTCGGAGGGTCCCTACTCACCGTAGCCTTCCAGATTCTTGTCAGCACGCTCTCGACCGCCGAACTCACCGTGCAATCGGTCGACACAGTCAAAAGCCTAATCTCATGTACTGTACTCAAAATCAAGTCCGCCCTTACTTGCTGAAGCAGCCAGCCATGCTAGCTCATATTTTTGGATTATATATTATATATCTACATTTCTTTATATATTTATAAAGCGAGAGAGACAGAAAAAAGAAAAAAAGAGAGAAAAGCGTTGTTAATCAGCCAAATAGACTTTTTTAAATTTCTTTAATAACTTGGGAGATGAAATAGTTGTGGTTTGCGTCGTTGCCATGCGCAATGCGGTCGGGTTCGAGTCAAGAACGAACCTCGCGTCAGGTGAGAGAGAAGCACCGATCAGCGGTGGCGGTTCGGGCATTGACTCGCTTTCCATGTGCCATGTGTTGTAGATTTTAATATCTCGGTAAATTCTATGAATGGACTGAGGAGAATATTGAACTGTTGTAGTTTATGATTTTATTGTCATCATGCTGATGTTGTTTCTAATGTTATCAACTGTTTCTGGCTACAATGTTATAATGTTTTGTGATTGGATGGATTCGTGGTGGACTATTTGTAGAAACTGGAAAGTTCTCGTGTTTTGACAGCTTTTGAAAACTGTTTGTCCGGTGCAATAAATCCTGTTGGACGAGAGGCGCACTGTGAGATGGGGCTGGCTCGGCAGGGCGCAGGCCCGGCCTGGTCACATGCGGGCTTTTCGGTCCTGCTGTTGATCTCCGCTCACCGCTACGGTTTCTCCGGCGCTGCATTCAATGTCCCACCGAACTGCCAGCCGGGCTCATTAACTGCTTGCTTGGCGGAAGCACCGTATGGGAACTAGGGCTGTCAAAACGGCTCGTTGTTCGCGAGCCGAACTGCCAGCCGAGCTCATTAACTGCTTGCTTGGTGGAAGCACCGTATGCGAACGTTTGCATGAAATACTTCTTTGGGCGATTCGGTATGCAAATATAAATAGCATTTAAAATAAAGATTAGCAAGCTGGTTTTTGAGATGTTAAAAATTTTTTCATCAGGTACATCTCCTTTGTATTCCTTCCTGTTACAATTTTAAAATCTTTGGTGATCAAGATTTGATGAAGTTGAGGCCTTTGTGATTTTAGTTATGTACGATATAAATGGTCCTTCCATCAATCCTTTGCGTGAGGGCAGCGTGTGAGACTGTGGGCTCTAGTTCTAAGACATCTAACATTTCTTTTTAGGGGAATGTCACAAATGTATGTAGTGACTTACCATGCTTCTAGCAATTTCGGAGCAATGCCTCGGAACATTTGTAGGATTTTTACGCACCAATGAACAGTGTTATGAACATCCTCTCGAGCTCTGTAACAGAAATAATTACATCTAATGGCAAGTTATTGAATCATCAAAGGTCGGTTCTTCAAGATTCACAAATAAGGGTCAACACTTTATGACATCATTTATTCTTAATAGATATATTACAGAATCAAAGGAGGCAACATGGTTGGAAGGATGTGACCATCTTCAATAGGATTATAGAGGAGTTTTAAAGCATTCAAGCGCTTTAGCTTCATCAATATTTCTAAGGAATGCATTCTCTAGGTTATTAAGCCGTGAAACCTCAGCCCACCTTAATAAATTACTATCTGACAATGTCAATCCTTCACTATTAATGTAGTGTGAGTCACCTTCTTCACCCCTTGGGGAAGTAAAGGGGTCTTTCCCAGCTTTGGTGTCATGCTCCTTCATTAAGCATCGGGGTACTACTGATTGAGGTGGCGACACTGTAGCTTGAGCGAGATAACTTCTAAACATATCTATCCTTTGTTCATTGAGCTTCTTGATATGTTCGGTCACAAGATCTCTTGTGGAATTCATATTGCTTATGGCATCTCAGTTGTTGGGTTCTTCTTCTTGAGTCACTGATATTCTTATTGTGGTATAATCTACACTCATTGAACCTTTTCAGGATTTTGAACTCAAATTGTCCTTGAATCACATTGAAGAGCTAAAGTATCAAGAGAGTGGGGGAAGAGAGAGAGAGAGAGAGAGAGAGAGAGAGAGAGAGAGAGAGAGGAGATAATAGAATAATTGATGAGTGTAATGAAGATAATTCAGTGAGAGTCTTACTCAAGCTTCCCAAAAAGAGGGTTTTAAATCCCTATTTACATTTAATACGCCCTCTTTTGCTGGGTGGCCTTCACAAATGTCACTTTTAGCTTCATAATACCATTAACTAGTCCCTTGTCCGTGTAAATGACTAATTTTGGTCTTATCTCCTATTGTATAATCAAGGCTATAGAGGTTTTATGCTCTTATTGACTGTTCAGTTTAGATGGCCAACCTTTCCTAGTCAATCTGCAATGGTCAACCTTTAGTGACTATTTGGTCGCGGTCAATCTCTAGTGGATGTATGACAGTAGTCAGTTTTTTTGTGGCTACATGGTTGTTGTTGGCCTTCAGAGACTATCTTGTTGAGGTAAACCTCTATGGCTGAATGACTATCGTTGGCTTTTCGTGGTCAGCTTTTGGTCACCATCTTGTCATGGTCGACCTCTCGTGTCAATGTTCTGTGGACTCATCTTCAATCCCTCGATATCTCGATTTCGTCCTATTATACTTGATTGGATATATCAACCTATTATGTTTTTTTTTTTTTTTTTTAAAAAAAAAATTTTAAATGAAAGTATTCGACCAATGTTGATTTGGGCTACTACTTTTTGGATGTACAATGTTAATGTAGAAAAAGTTATGTGGCATCTTAATGGGGGCAGATAAATTAATTAATCAAGTATATCGTCACATTAAGGAGTTCTGCACTTATAAAGTAAAGTATAAATTATGAGTACCCATAGAGGTTTTATGCTCTTATTGACTGTTCAGGTTAGATGGCCAACCTTTCCTAGTCAATCTGTAATGGTCAACCTTTAGTGACTATTTGGTCGCGGTCAATCTCTAGTGGATGTATGACAGTAGTCAGTTTTTTTGTGGCTACATGGTTGTTGTTGGCCTTCAGAGACTATCTTGTTGAGGTAAACCTCTATGGCTGAATGACTATCGTTGGCTTTTCGTGGTCAGCTTTTGGTCACCATCTTGTCATGGTCGACCTCTCGTGTCAATGTTCTGTGGACTCATCTTCAATCCCTCGATATCTCGATTTCGTCCTATTGTACTTGATTGGATATATCAACCTATTATGTTTTTTTTAAAAAAAAAATTTTAAGAATTTGGCAACTTAGGGCCCGTTTTGGGTAGCTTATAAGTGCGGCGACGTTTTTTAAAATGCCGCATAACCGTTTGGTTTGTATATTTTTTAAAACATTGTCTGCCGCGTTTGAGTTTTTTACACTAAGCGCAGGCTGCTGGCAGACCCCCGTGGTCGACATGCGAGCCGCGTTTCAGGATAAACTGTTTTTTCTGAAACACACTGTTAAATTGTGCATGTCTGCTTTAAGAATTTGGCAACTTAATAATAATCACGGGCAAAACAAGCTCATTTTCTTAAGGTGTGCAAAATTTTATACATTAAATAATAATAATAATAATAATTTCAATTAAAAATAATCACGGGCAGAAAAAGCTCATTTTCTTAAGGTGTGCAAAATTTTATGCATTAAATAATAATAATAATAATAATTTCAATTAAAATCTATATAACTAATATTTTTAGAAAAAAAAATACAAGAAACTAGTAAAGATAATACTATCAATACTATGAAATGAAAACAGAAGAAGACAAGGATACACAATTGAAAGAAAATATACATACACAAGTCGATAAGTTGGGTATTTTTTTTAGGATTGGGCAAAATCATAAATCAGAAATCATAAACTAACATAGTTATTTATATGAATATGTAAGTATATGTTGAGCAAATATTACAATGTTTTGATTCTGTTTATACTTCTTATCAGCAACTAAATATAAAATACCATGAAACAACGGAATTAACTTCTCTTAACTTCTTACTCATTTCCATTTCTATTTGTTCCGAGCTCTAACTATGTTTTGACATTTCTTTGTTGGAGTTTGTATTCTTGTTGGGTAGCGTTTGGTTTCAAACTGCACATTTTTATTTACCATGTAGATTTTGCCCATGTCTGTGAATTAGACAAGAGAATTCCAACAAGAATAAGTTAAATAACGTCCGTCGGCTTCCATAAGAAAATGCCAGACAGACATGGTCAACTCTAAGTACGAAAATAAATAGTATGAAGATGTATATGTGTTTCAGAAGCTTGGAAGCTACCTCCGGGTGGTTAGGCGGGGGAAAAGAAAACCAAATTTTGCTTTAGGGGCTCAGCTAAGACTTAAGTTTGGTATGAAAATTATATTATACATTGTTTAGTGACTATGTTTGCTAATTGTTAGGAAAAGCTTCAAAGATTAGGGAGATTGCTGTCATGGTGAATAATAAATCATAGTAAAAGAGCTCATATATATTTGATAATCTCATTGCATTATCATTATTAGTTGTATTTCTCATATTTATTTCTCAGAGAAAAGATTGCCTACAACATTTTTTTTTTCCGCGAGTAAGGAAATGTCTAATTGTCGGGTGACTATCTCATCGATTTTCTTTCAGCAACTAATTGGTTTACTCTTAGAGGATTTGATTTGACATTTGCTTTAGCTTGTAAGTTGTATTTTTTTTGAATTAGGCCCTCATTGTTGTCGGCGGAAGGGTAGTCTTTTAAGTAAGCCTCCAAACGTAGAATTTCTAAACTTCACTTTATTCATCTAGTGTGGAGAATATAAGAAACCCTAATGCTTGGAACTATGTTAAAACACTGGGATATCTAAATGTGTCTTGAGAAGTCTTTTGAATTTTAGTGGCTTTTTGGTATTATTTATTGGTTTTATTGGGATGTGAGACCTTACAAAAATATATTCTACTCACCAGAGATTGGAGATAATTGACCTTCAGAGGGGTTTTGGAGCTTAAAAAAAATTATTAAACACTTTTTAGTTATAGTAAATTTTAGGTAGTTTTGATACTCTCTAATTTTTTAAGAGATTGAAACTGACTAAAAATAAAAGTTAGAAAATTTAGTCTGATCAAGCCTAACCTTAGTTGAACACTAACGATGGGTGTAATTTGGTAAGGGATTTGTTGGAGAATATTAGGTTGATTTGGAGATGTAGAGGGATGTAAGGAAAAGATTCACATAATAAAAGAAATTTAAAATATTTAAAGAAAAGAATATCAATCATTTACCTAAATAAAAAGGTTATGGAAGATCATCAAATCTCCATTTCCTTAGACTTGCCACAAAATTTCTAAGCTTTGGTTCAAATTTTAAAATTTCTTCCTAATTGGAACCCATTTATTTGCAAAAAAATTTTCTGCAGAATAGAAGAGAGGGAAAAGGTGAATGAGCCCAAGATTGAATAACTAAGTAAATTTGTTTTATTAATCAACAAATTAATCCTCAAGTATTTTTATTTGAAATTCTCTAAAAAGTTTTAAAATATAATTTCTTGAATAATTTTAAATTTAAATATCATTCTAAATCTACAAATTTAAAGAAACACATAGCCTCACCAAAAATAGAATAATTGTAGTG